GGCTCTCTGGAGTACTTCCGGAACCCACACCGACGAAATCGATGAGCTATTTTGGAACTCCGAATCGCAGGATCCAACACTCTTTATCACATCATTTAATCCTCAAATTCTCCCACGAAATATTACTCACCTAATTTTTCATGCAAAAAATCATATATTAGACGGTATATGAGACGGATATAGTACATTTAAACTCTAAATATATTAATTTCTACCCAGAAATTTCATTAAATAAAATAATTATGCTATTAAATATTAATAATTATATAAAATAATTTTATCAACAGATTAAAAATAAAAAGAAAAAAGATATCAAATGTGGAATCTACACCGATGAGTTTTATAATAGATAGATAGAGCTGTCGAAACGAATTGACGAGCAGATCAACCCATAATTCATCATAATTCACAAATAAGTGGATTATTTGCGGGCCAACCTACGACGAGACGGATTAAAAATTAGGCAACCCAATCCAACCCACCGGCTAGTGACGAGACAAGCGGGCCAACCTACAGACTTTTAAAAAATATAAAAAAATAATTATATCTTAGAATTCAAATAATAAATATTTCAAAATAAATATCTAAAAATAAAGTTATTCAAAATTTTAAATATCATTGGTCGATATTTTTTTTTAAAAAAAATTGATAATAAAAAATATTTATACTACAAATATGTATTATTCTTGTAGATTTTTAATAAATTATAGAAGAAAAAAATTAAAAGACAATTAAAAATGAATAAAATAAACGGAAAGAAGTTATTATAAAGATAAATAGAGACATGTTAGTCATAAAAGATAGAGTAACATCGCAAACTATATATATTGCTTAATTGGTTTAACATAATATCAAAGTTTTTAATAATTTAATTATTTGAGTTAACTAAATATAAATTATTTTAAAAATGAATCATGAATATCATATGTATATATCTGTTTACTTTTGCATTAAAATTTATGAATATTACTCCCTCAATCCCGGATGACTGTTGTTAGATTTAGATATCCTCTTATTAGATATAAATATCTTTTTGATATTATTGGATATTATCTATCTTAGTTTTGGCTCGAATCTACTAGTATATAACCTATTGTATTTTCTTATTTTGATAATAATACAATTTCATAATTTTTCCACAAATTCTAATATGATATAAGAGCTCAATTTAAAAATACAAAACCCTAACCGCCGCCGCTGTTCTTCGCCATCCGTCTCTTTCTGGTCGACACATCCGCCACCGTTGGGACCACCTTGTCATTTCCGGCCATCCCTCAAAATATCGCCTCCAACGGCTGCGAGTGACGCCTTCATGTTACGCCCTCACATGCTGCCGACGTGAATCGCAGCGAAAGAAGCTTTTCCACCGCCGTCCTTCCGGCCGCTCGTGCGGGCGCGTCCGGCCACCTCTGGTCGTCGTTTTTCGGCCGCTGCCTTCTGTCTTCATTCTCTACTTCGTGGTGTGGTTGGTTTTGTCATTGGAGTTATTTTTTATTTTTGCATCTGTTACTAGTATGACTTCGTCAGTCTATAATATCATAACTTTTTCGCATCAAGTTCTTGCTTTCAATTTTTCTTCGGTCATGGACAATTCGTGGTATTTTGATTGCGGTTGCTGCAATCATATGACACCTACACTTAGTCTCTTGACCGATGCACATCTTGTGTCCTCTTCACTACCTATACAGACTGCTAATGAAAGTCGCATGGATATTACTCATTCAAGATATGTATCTCTATCATTTATATCTTTTTTTCTGATACTTACTGCATTCCTCAATTGACTTCAAATCTTGTATCTCTTGTTAACTTTTCTCTCTGCTCAAGTTACATAGATTTAGCGTTCTTGTCCATATACCTCCCAAAAAGATGGTCGCATTGAGCACAAACATCGTCACATTCTAAATATTGTTTGTGCGTCTCTTTTGTCTGCCTCTTGTCTTGATAGGTTTGGGGGGAAGCTGCAGTGCTGTATATAATATAAATCGTATTCCATCATCTTTCCTCCATAATAGCACCCCTTAGAGCGTCTATATGGTCAGCCACCCGATTATAGTATCATTCGTCCCTTTGGTTGTGTATATTTTGTTCTTATTCCTCCGCATGAATGTTCAAAATTGGAACCTCGTGCGTGTCTGTTGACAGACGTTTGTCACACACTACAAAATTTAAATAAAATAAACCTATTTCTGCAATGAAAATAGTGTAGTATAGATGAAGTAGGGTCGTCTCCTTAGGGAATTAAAAAGGTTTTATTTTCGATTGTTTAATTTATAAATATAATTAAAGGAGGGATTTTGGAAGTAGGAAATAAAAATAAAATAAAAAACTAAAAACTCTATGACTAAAAGATAAATTCAATAAAAATAAGTTTCCATTTTATGAATGAAATTGACAACTTGGGTAGTGGATTTGATTATCGATAAATATGTAATTTTATTGGTTTCTAAATAAATTAGTTATAGTTACCGACACGCGCCTAATAACCAACTCTTCCTTAATTTTTTGACAGTCTAGGTACGCCCGTCAACTGCTTCCCTGGTTAGACTAGAAACCTAGTGACGCCACAAAGAATTTACTAGCATACCGCTTTGCGAACTAGAAGAGCCTAATTCAATTTAACAATTAACTATGCGAAATTGTTTAAAATTGATTATATGATTCCCTAATGGTGTCTGTCACTAGTTGCTACTTGAACCAAACTAAAATGCAATTACCGACGCCTACTTTAGTTTAGCAATTAATCCTTAATCCAATTGAAATACCTGGCCACAATACCCAACCAAATAAAAGATTATAACTCAAAGAAATCAGAAACCACAGAAATACTTAGGAACCAAAGAAATCTCATAAATAAAAACAAGTCTAATATCTCAAATCCATACCAAGTTGTTTTCCACTCCTATACTAGAAAAGTAAACTACTCGCTAATCATAGGAGGAAGAACAAAGAAAAAGGAAGCAAAGAGAAACATCGCCTAAGAATGATGTTGGTAGAGGTAGAACTCGAAATCTTCTTGAAAGAATCTTTCTCCTTCTTGCCCTTGCACAGTTTCTCTCTGGAACTCTTCTGCACGGTGTTCTCCTCGGCAAGTGGTATATAGTGGCGCCTCCCCCTTCTTTCTTTCCTATATATTTGCCCTAATTTTGTAAAAATTGGGCCTTGGACCTTTTTTTTATCTTTTCCCACTAATTATATCAATTTTATTATTTTTCTCTTGCAAATTATAAATAAATAATATATGCCCAAATCAAGTAGAATCTAATCAAAATCAACCAAATATCGCAAATAATATAAATATTTAATGCATGAGATTTATGGCTATCAAATCTCTCCACACCTAGATTATGCTTGCCCTCAACCATAAATTCAAAACAAGCCAAAAGAAATCGCAGACGACTCAATATGACAAGAAAATCTAACTCAACGAAATCAATCGGAAATTCAACCATCAAGCCAAGTCAACCTCACTGGATAAAGTGTATGCGCACATGCTCTCTGAAAGAAATAAGTGTATATAATCAGCTAACGCTCAGTGCGACAAAAGATTATCCCATATGCTTGAATAAAAATCAAATCTCCCTTGCTTAAGATACTCGAATTTAACATCAAGAAGTAAAGGGACTTTTTTATAAAGGTTGTAACGGGGCTGATGGTTAGGGGTAAAAAAAAGGATATGCGAAGGCTAAAATATGTTAAAAAAGAACACAATAAGAACAGGATACTAGCATGTGAAAAACAATTCGGAATAAATAATGAAACCCTTAATTTATTCACTACCCAAACTTTAATAACATAATTATATCAATAATACTTCATCAAGATTTATCTTATTTTCCTTTTATTTTTATTTTTTTTGGGGGGCCTTCTTTGTTGTTTTTTTTTTATTTTATTTATTTTATTAAAGTTTTTTGGCCTCTTTTTAAAAAATATATATATACGTCTTTCACTACCCTTTCTCATTGAAGCAGACACTTCTGAATACATTATTTATTTATACTTAAACTTCGTTTCTAACTGGTGCCGAACAAATAAGGTGCATCATACCGTGAATTTAAAATAATTCTTTCTAACATAGGGTTCAAATCGGAGAAGGTTTAGTATCAAAATAAGGGTATGAGGCTAAAAGACGGTTTAATATAGAAGAAAAATAGGCTAAAAAGTCTCAAATGGGCTAACTAAGGAAAATATATTGTGCTGGGTGATATAGAAAAGCTCAATGGGTTACCTCATTCCCTTATCATTTTCAAAATGCAAGACTCGATAGTTGCAAGTTCAACATGCATAATCACTCAAGTTCTAGGTCATCTAATTGAGCACTACAAATCACACAATAAAGAATTTCCAAAAGCTTGATAATATATAGTTTATTTTCTAATGTAAGTTTTTTTTGGAATATATACTCGAATTGTCACAGGGTTCAAATGTCAACCTGGCTCAACATATTTCAAATCCAATGTCATCAATCTTGTCAGACTAACCTATCACTCAAACCACCTTTGACTCACTTCAGACAAATCTCAAAAATATGCGAAAGGACAGCAAATCAGGCATCAAAAGTAGCACAAAATGAAAAATTTGCCCAAAAAATTTGCATTACTCTCTCCCCACACCTAAAGCAAACATTGTCCTCAATGTAAAAAAAAACAGTAAAATAAGAGAAGAACTTCCCTAAAATCCGTACGATTGGTGCGACTGCATGTTTTAGCTTTGAATTCCAAACTTCTTCAAGTTGATTGTGGGTCTCTTTTAGCCAACACCAAAATTGATAGCTCGGGGAGGAAGAGGAAAAAAGACTATGGCTTTTTTTTTTTAAAAAAAAATTCTCCAAGAAGTTCCCTACAAAAAATAAAGAATCCAAATCAAATAGGCGATATTTAAAAATTAAAAAAAAAATAAAACAAAAACTAAAGAAAATAAAAGAACTAAAGCTAGAAAACTTGGGTTGCCTCCCAATAAGTGCCTCTCTTTAACGTCTTTGGCTAGACGCAGTTACCATGTTAGCCATTAGGTAGCACTACTTCAGACCGTCTTACCCACTTCAGTTTTTGTCTTTTACTTCCATGTTTAAAACGATGATTACTCATAATAAATTTCTCTGTAAGATTCATATCATCATTTAAGTGAACATGCTTTAACTGATTTGGATGCGGCTGCGATTTTATGTCCAGGATAGATTTCGCATTCAATCTCAAGAGTTCTGGAATACTTTTGTCAATAACATTTACACTGCGCAATGCATTAGATTTTTCAAGGTATTTTATAGAATCAGAAATATTAAATTGCACTTTCTCACCATCAAATTCCATAGAAAGTATACCTTGTTTCACATCAATTTTAGTTTGTGCGGTGCACATAAATGGTCTACCTAGTAAAATCGGTGCAGGATTTGGAGAATTATCATCATGCATATCAAGCACATAAAAATCAACCGGAAAAATTAATTCGTTAACTTGCACTAGGACATCTTCAATCATTCCTTTAGGGTAAGCATTTGTCCTATCGGCTAATTGTATAATAATTCCAGTTTCTTTTAAAGGCCCAATGTTCAAAGACTTATAAATAGACTTAGGTATCACATTGATTGGAGCTCCTAAATCTAACATTGCTCGTTTAATCTCCAACTTACCTATTTCTTTACAAGGAACCGAGAACATACCTGGATCTCCACATTTAGGAGGAAGCTTACATTGTAAAACGGCAGATACGCTCTCGCCAACAATAATGCATTCATCTCTACGTAGTCTCTTCTTGTTCGCATAAAGATCCTTCAGAAATTTTGCATATTTCGGCACTTGCTTGATTGCATCCAGTAAGGGTATTTTCAATTCCACCTTTCGAAACATCTCCATCATCTCCTTATTTTTGTCATCCTTCTTTGGTTTCGCCAACCTGCAAGGAAACGATGCAACATTAGTTTTAGTATTAGTAGGTGTTTCAGAAGTTACCTTGTCCGATACTTCATTGGCGGCTTTCTCTATTTCTTTCTCAATGACATCATCATTCTTGTCCTTTAGAACTTCAGCTTTTGATACTTCTAAATCTTTGCCATTTTGTATAACAATCGAGCTTACATTCCTCAGATTGGCGTCGGGTTGTGAAGGCAATCTATTTTTTTCACTTGACTTCATCTCGCACTTCTCATTCGCCATTTGACTTACTTGTTCTTCTAAGTTCCTTATGCTATTCCGAGTTTCCTGTTGTAATTACAACATGTTAGACACCATAGTTTTCATCATATCCTCTAAGGAATTAATCGGAACCGTTTGAGTCGGTTGTGGAGGGTGGTTAGGTGCTGGGAATCCTCTCGAATGATCTTCAAAGTTAGCTTGTTGATTTCCATACTTTAAGTTCAGTTGATCTTTCCATCCTGGATTGTATGTATTCGAGTAGTGGTTGTATGCTCTTGGGATGAATCCTGCAGCACTAACATCTACTTCTTGACTCAAGGTAGGACAAATATCCGTAGGACGGTCCGAACTTCTGCAGATTCCGCAAGCCTTAACTTGTGTCTTTCCTACAACAAATTTTCGAACAAATGAAGTCAGTTCAGTCAATTGTTGTTGAATAGAACTCACCTCGCTTGCTTCTTTAACTGCTACTGTTTCTCTTGGTCCGAAATATTGTGTGTTCATTGCCATATTTTTCATTTAGTCCCGCGCCTCTCTAGGAGTTTTGTTCATCAAGGCCCCTCCACTTGCTGCGTCTATGATTCTCCTGTCGATGGGAGTCAAACCTTCATAGAAATATTTAATCAGTAATTGCACGGGAATTTGATGGTGGGGACATCGAATAAGTAGAGCATTAAAGCGGTCCCAATATTCAAATAAAGACTCCCCTGTATGTTGTGTAATTCCGCATATCTCTTTCCTCATGATCGCAGCTCGTGAAGCAGGAAAGTACTTCTCAAGAAACTTTCTCTTCATGTCAATCCATGTGTTGACGCTTCCAGTAGGTAGATTGAATAGCCAATCTTTTGCAGCATCTTTCAGTGAGAAGAGAAAAGCTCAAAGTTTGATTTGATCTTCTGCTATTCCTTGTGGCTTCATACTTGTGCAGAAGACATCAAATTCTTGAAGATGCTTATGTGGCTCTTCTCCTGACAACCCATGGAAAGAAGGCAACAAGTGTATTAGTCCTGATTTTAATTCAAAAGCATTGTTACCGTCTACCATCGGATATGTGATGCAGAGATGTTGTTGGGTCAAGTTAGGGGCAGCCAACTCCCTTAATGTCCTTTGATCCATCTCTTTTTCTAGCTCGATCTCGTCAGAACTAAAATTGCTAGATAATTTTGAAGCTAAATCTTTTTGGCAACGCTCCCTAGTTTTTTTCTCAATCGACGTGCAGTTTTCTCAATTTCGGGGTGGAAAATTGATGACTCCAAATATGAGCATATTCTTAACTTGACGAAACTATGTATTACTTGAATTTTTGTATAAAAACCATCACAATGACTCATTAATGGCATACATTATTGATCTATATCGCTTGGCATGATCCAGAATTCGTTGTTGAGATTATTAACAATTTTTGCCCTTTTTAAGCTGTAGTCTGGTGCCAGAAAAGCTAAGGCAGACGCCACAAGCGACAGCCACCTCCGCTCACATGCGCCAAGAATACTTCCTAAAAAATACTAAGGCATGAGAGGCAAGCGGCAGCCTTCACAGCCCGCAAGCGATAGCCTCTCCCGCTTGCAAGCGACAGCCCAGACGCCCACCACTGCAGAGTATCACCATATTCTAACTAAGTATTCCAACTGCAACAGTACAACCATTTCATTTCCAGCCAGCACAAGCGAGCCTAGTTGCGCTGATGCCCTCTAGCTATCCGGCAAGCGAGGAAAATCTAAGCCCTTACAGTTCAATGCAATCAAAGCGAGCGCCTTGGGAGTTATGGTCAGCAACTGCTTCAATAGAATAACTACCAGTAACCGCCTAATTGCCCAGCGGTTGGAACCGCCCAGCAACCGATTGCAACCGCCCCGTTCCGCTTGCTATAAATAGGGCCAAATATCTTTACGAATAAGGATTGATACTTCGATTAAAAATACTCTTAGCAATTACTTTTCACAAGCAAGTCGTCTTCCTGTCTTCAAGAGCTCCAACCCTGTAAGGGAGTTCTCCACAGGAATGGCCAAGGGACTAAGGGTTTACAGCTTTCTTAGATTAGATTACTGTTTTTGTTTACAGCTTTGTAGCTCTAGTCTTTTCCTGCTTTCGTAGTAGATAATGAAATATCATTCAGTTCTTCATCCTCATTTCTTCAACTTTTTACACACTTATATAAAGTTTGAATTTAGAGAATTTCATTTCACTAGTTTAGAACAAGAGAAGAATTGATTATTTGAGCCTTGTTATGCGCCAAAAGTGGTCTCAAGGTAGTTCAATGTAGTTAAGTACGCGGGAGCCTTTTCGACCTGCTTAACTACTGTTCTGAATTCAATTTTGAATAAAAAGAGGTAACAGAAGGGTAAAGCCACTAATGAGGCAGATATTGGGAAAACTAATGGGGCATAGGCGGTGGTCTATTAGGTCACAGATATTCCTAGTGACAGTAGGGTTTCTTTCATATTATGTCTCGATTCTGGGTATCATTGAAGTCTTGTTGTAAATCCCTTAAGGTCAAATTCCAGTGTTATGAATTCTTTGCATTCAGTTTATATAATTACATTACCCCCTTCTCTCCGCGTCCGTAAAATACATATATTTTCGATAACACACTTACATCACTCGCTCACTACATCCAGGGAAATCTATCCATTTAGTAACGCACAGTTCAGACACAACATCTCCCCTTCACTCTTTGTCGCTCATCTATATATATATACATATAATGTGCTGCTCGCTCATGTCCCGATCATCTAGTTACTGTTGGCACTTCCTCTTCCGCCCTCGCTTCGCTCACTTCCGCTCACTTCATTTTCACCGCTTTACTTACTGTTTTCTATAGTTTAGCTTTTGGATCCGCAGCAAGCGGATCCCTTCCCGCATTTTTTTTCGTCGCTTTTTTTTCAAGATTTTCACCGTTGAAATTTATGACTTAAAATCCTTGTGTTCGACCTGGAAACTCACCAGTAAAAAGAGTATAAATAATTGTGATAACTACTTAGGGTCTACAATCACAAAAATTACTATATCTGATCGCTTTTCTATAAACGTCCACTCACTGATTTTTCGAATATAAATTCCCAATGATTTGTACAAGATTAAATAATACAAATACAAGTTATCAAAAATCAAGTTTCCTGTGCGATCAGATCTCGACATAAACCAGAAAAAAATCAGATTTTTTAGATCATAGATAACAACCAAAGATAAATAAACCAATTAAAATTCCCCGGCAACGGCGCCAAAATTTGACAGGCGTTTGTCACACGCTGCAAAATTTAAAGAAAATAAACCTACTTCTGCAATAAAAATAACGTAGTATAGATGAAGTAGGGTCGTCTCCTCAGAAAATTAAAAAGGTTTTATTTTTTATTGTTTAATTTATAAATATAATTAAAGGAGAGATTTTGAAATTAGGAAATAAAAATAAAATAACAAACTAAAAACTCTAAGACTAAAAGATAAATTCAATAAAAATAAGTTTCCAGTCTAGGAATGAAATTGACAACTTGGAAAGTGGATTTGATCATCGATAAATATTTAATTTTATTGATTTATAAATAAATTAGTTATAGTTACCGACACGCCCCTAGTAACCAACTCTTCCTTAATTTCTTGACAGTCTAGGTACGCCCGTCAACTACTTCCCTAGTTAGACTAGAACCCTAGTGACGCCACAAAGAATCTACTAGCCTAACCGCCTTGCGAACTAGAAGAGCCTAATTCAATTTAACAATTAACTATGCGAAATTGTTTAAAATTGATTATGTGATTTCCTAATAGTGTCTGTCACTAGTTGCTACTTAAACCAAATTAAAACGAAAGTACGGACGCCTACTTTAGTTTAGCAATTAATCCTTAGTTCAATTGAAATACCTGGCCATAATACCCAACCAAATAAAAGATTATAACTCAAAGAAATCAGAAACTACAAAAATATTTAGGAACGAAAGAAATCTCATAAATCTCATAAATCAAAACAAGTCTAATATCTCAAATCCATACCAAGTTGTTTTCCACTCTTAGACTAGAAAAGTAACTACTCGCTAAACGTAGGACGAAGAACAAAGAAAAAGGAAGCAAAGAGAAACATCGCCTGAGAATGATTTTGGTAGGGGTAGAACTTGAAATCTTCTTGGAAGAATCTTTTTCCTTCTTGCCCTTGCACGATTTCTCTCTGGAACTCTTCTGCACAGTGTTCTCCTCGGCAAGTGGCATAAAGTTGCGCCTTTCCCTACTTTCTTTCCTTTATATTTGCCCTAGTTTTGTAACAATTGGGCCTTTGACCTTTTTTTTCTCTTTTCCCACTAATTATATCAATTTTATTATTTTTCTCTTGCAAATTATAAATAAATAATATAAGCCCAAATCAGATAGAATCTAATCAAAATCAATCAAATATCTCAAATAATATAAATATTTAACGCATGCGATTTATGATTATCATCTATGTTGTCTTCTTGGTTATGGGGTAGAGCATAAAGGTTATAGGATTTGGGATTTGATCTCTAAATAGTTGCATATATATCTCATGATGTTACCTTTTGGGAGAGTGTTATGTTTTCCACTATGTTTAAATTTCATGTATCATCTATTTCCCATTCACTTTCCTTTCTGTCGGCATGCCCTCCATTGTTTTGTGATCCTGATCCTACGGCTTCATCTCTACCTCCGGATCCTGTTCCAGTTGAGACTTCCGATCCATCTCCAGTTGAGGCTTCTGACCCACCTACAGTTGAGGCTTCAGATCCACCTCCGACCTTGTCTGTAGATGTTGATACGTTTGCGGTCCCTGGACCTGTCATACCTCGTCGATCACATCGAGTAAGTCATCTCCTGCTCATTTGCGTGATTATCATTGTTACTCTGTCATATTATCTCATCATGAGCCTAGATCATTTTGTGAGGCGAGTGCTGATCCATTGTGGTAGTAAGCTATGACTGAGGAATTGCAGACTCTGGCAAAGACTCACACTTGGGATTTCACTACAAGAAATTATCAATTTTGTAACGAGGTTTTTTCGTTCCTAAATTCACTTTTTTCGTTACTAATGATATTAGAGACGAAATTAGAGATGGAATTACATTAGCTACGTAAACTTTAGGAACGGAATTCCGTTACAAATATACTACTTTTTTTGTAGTGTTTAATGGATTTGCCTTCTGGAAAGACACCTATTGGGTGCAAGTGGGTTTTCAAAATCAAGACTAATTCTGATGGTTCCGTTGAGCGCTACAAGGCGCGCTGGTGGCTAAGGGTATTATCAGGAATATGGAATTGACTATGAGGAGACTTTTTCCCCCGTTGCTCGTCTCACTACAGTTCGTTTCCTTGTTTCCGTTGATGTTGTTCGTCGTTGGTCCCTTCTTTAGTTAGATTTCAAGAATACATTCTTACATGGCACTCTTTCTGAAAAAATTTACATGACTCCTCCTTCAGGTTTACCATCTTCTGAAAAGGTTTGTCGCTTACCCCGCGTTTTATATAGGTTAAAGCAGGCCCTTCGGGCTTAGTATGCCGCATTTAGCTCTACATTCTTGGAGTTTGGTTTTACCATATGCGCTTATGATTCCGGATTATTCCTTCATCGTTATTCCTTTGGGATAGTTATCCTCTTGCTTTATGTTGATTATATGATCATCAGAGAAGATGATGCGTCTGGTATTCTGATCTACATACATATTTTTATTCAGTAGTTTAACATGAAGAGCTTGCATCCCCTTCGTTATTTTTTGGGACTTGAAGTCTCTGATTCTTTCGATAATTTCTATTTGTCTCAGGCTAAGTATGCTTCCGATCTTATTTCTCGAGCTGGTCTCACAGACTGTCAGGTAGCCTCTATACCACTTGCCTATGGCGTTCGACTTACACCTCCTGATGGCTCTCTTCTTGATGATCCTACCCTATATCATCATCTTGTTGGGAGTTTGATTTATTTGACTGTTACTAGGCTTGATATTGCTCATGCAGAGCATATTGTGACTCAATTCATGGCTACTCGGGAAAATTACATAAAATATCCCACACGTATATCCAATTATTACTTTTGTCATGTATTTATCTCGCTGGCTTTGGATTTGATGTCTTTTTTAGACGATCCGAGGCCTTGATCTTTGAGGAGGTGGATTTGGTGCTCCATAACAATTTTGGCGGCATGTCCCTTTGACTTTTGGATCGAAGAGGGCCGAGTTGATGCTTTGGTGAAGAACGCAATGAATACTTTGAAGCTTTGGGATGAACTTTGGATGTTCTTCCTTGGCTTTGATGGATTCTTCAACAGCTTTTGAAGCTTTGATCCTTGAAGATGTTGATTTGGTGCTTCATAACACTTTTGGTGGCGTGTCCCTTTGACTTTTGGATCGAAGAGGGCCGAATTGATGCTTTGGTGAAGAACGCGATGAACACCTTGAAGCTTTAAGATGAACTTTGAAGACCTTCTCTTGACTTTAACGAATTCCTCAACATCTTTGGGAGTTTTGATCCTTCCTCCGGCTTTGACATACGACGAAGAACGTTAATTTCATCGATTCGTCAACCAATATTGGATCATTTGTCCGAATCAGTGACTTTCGACGAAGAACAATACAGAGAGAGCCTAGAGACTTACCCTTTGCTTGAATCCTCGATGTAACTTTGGCGTCTCAAATGAACTGGCCATGGCTCTTATTTATAGGGGAGGGCTGGCCTCACCTTCCTTTTAGAATAATGCCACGTGGCGCATCCTGATTGGCCAATAGAAAGATTTTATAATCTTTCTTTTTCCATCAGATGCCGTTTCCATTCTTGATGGATTTGATTGTTCACTTTCCTTTCTCGCCAAGATCTTTATATCATTGCTTTTTTCGAAAGATATTAATTTATACACTTCCTTTATTGACAAGATTTATTTATTTTGCTGCCAAATTTATTATGGCTCTATTTATGCAAGTAATATATGTACGATATCTTCTATTTTAAGCAGATTTTTGCATTAATGGTTGATATTTATTGTACAAAAATTAACATATGTGCATAATTAAATACTATATATTTATTTTATTGAAATTTTATTTTCTTACAAAATACATGATATTTAATTTAATTTAGGCATTTAATTTTTAATGCCTACAATTATCATTCATGTTAATTCACACGCATTATCTTTTTTTCTCCATTCTCTTTTCTTTTATACATATTCTTAATCCATTTTTTCTATTGAACTTTATGGCTAAGAAAATTATTATGGTCATAATTATACGCGGTCGGGCCGTGTCATTCTCTCATCTCTTGGCGCAGCACAAAACAAACTTTGGTTTTTTGATCGAGTGCTGAGTCAAAGTATCATGCTATTGCTATCAAAACTTCTATGGCTTTGTCGACTACTAACTGACCTTGGTGCCCCTCAGCCATCTTCTATGGCTCTTCACCGCGATAGTCAGAGTGCTATGAAGGTGACCAATAATGATACCTTTCACAAGTGCACAAAGCATATTGAGCTTGAGTGTCACTTCATTCGACAACATGTTGTCAATGGGAGAGTTTATCTTGTTCTGGTATCCTCTGTAAATCAGATAGTAGATATCTTCACAAAGTCTCTTGTCCTTGGCCGCTTCCAATTGTTCTTAGACAAACTTAAGTTGGTCTTTACTGCCCCATCTGAGTTTGAGGGGAGGTGTTAGATTTAGATATCCTCTTGTTAGATATAAATATCTTTTTGATATTATTTATGTTAGTTTTGGCTCAAATCCACTAGCATATATATTCTTGTATTTCCTTAGTTTGATAATAATAGAATATCATAATTTTCCCATAAATTCTAACAAATATATTTCTTTGGGTTTTGTAGTGAATTTTGTAGTAGATTAAAAAATAATAATAATATTTTATTAGTTAGTGGAAATACATACGAATTTTTGATAGTTTTACCCTTCAACTTTATGTATAGACTAATTGTATGTGTAATGGTATATTTATAGTTTGAATAAAAATTAACGATATTTTGGTATTAGTGTATGATTATTTTTGTTGAGATAAGAAAGAGATACTTTGAATGAGACAAATAAAAATGGTAAACAAGTAATTTTATTAAACAATGATGATAATTTTTGTTGTAATAATATTTAAGTTGTAAGAATTTTTTAAATTTATGGAGTAAGCACAATTACATGAAAATAAAATAATTAGATTAATTTCAGATTGACTAAAATGATAAAATATATTCATTTGAAATATTAAAAATATAATATAATTATATTTATATTTATCTTATCCACAGGCTAATCCGCCCCATTGCGGATTAACCCACTTTCAACCCACAGTCTGCATGAGTTGGCTTGTTTAGATTCACATTTTAACGGGTCTAAAAAATTAAAATTCAATCATCTTTAAAGTGAGACAAGGAAACAGAACGCGTTCAAATCTATTTTGAAAGTTCTATAAATAGACAAATATCAATATGCACTCCAGTTAAAACAAAGTCATTGATTGTTACATATTTATTAACATGTAAATTTTAAATTTCTTTTATACTACCAATAATATTAAAAATTAATAGACATAAAATCGAGTAATGCAAATTTAATTTTATTGAAAATAAAATAAAATTTATTAGTGATATAAAAATTATTTACTAATACTAATATATTATCAATTATTACTATTATAACTTATGGTTGAAAAAATTAAGCCTATTCAACAAGTGTTACTCCCTAATTTTCAGGCTCAATAATAAACGGCGGCCCAACCTGGAGGATCAGTCCGTCCGGCCCGATCGAAAATGTGTTAGACATGTTCAAGTGAAATCATTGAAATGTGGAAGATAATGCAAAAATCTTTTTCATAGTTGGGTGGAGAAATTGAATGACATTATGGATAAAATCTTGGAAAAATGGATGAAGTGGGAAGTTATCGTAACATCAATATATAATATGATGAGGAGAATGAAAAGACACGTCATGCACATCTTCCAAAATTTCATAATTATTTTATTTTTTTATTTCTTTCTTTGGTTTATTCCTTTCTTTTGCATTAGTTTTCATTTTTTTTTTTGTGTGTTGGCTTATTATGTTCATTTCCAGGTTTTTATTCTATATTATTATTCATCCGTTTGATTTAATTTTCGTCAGATCAATTCACCCCGAATTAATTAATCGCAGTGAATTCCACTTAAATCCGTGTGTGCATCGATTTTTATTGCGAGATCAACCCGAATACTTTATTGAGTAGGTCAAAAAATTCAAGTTACATCGATTTCGACAGGTCCAAATCTAGTAGGCCATCATTATTTTATTTATTATTAGTACTCAATTTCTCAAATAATTAACCTAGAAATTTATAGAAAAAGCCAAAGATATACAAGTTCAAAGAACTCTCATTATAATTTATAATTGCATTTATTGTATGGATTTTCCAATGATTAATTCCATATTAATTAACTTCAATTTTGTGTATTGATTATTGCTACTTTATTCAAAATACTGAAAGTGATATTAAGTTTCGAATTTCAGGATGTCATCCCAATTTCACTATCATCATATTTAATGAAAGATAATTGCAATTATTTTGAATTTCAAATTTAGTCATTCTTTTTTTCTGAAAGGGATTTAATTCGCATATGAAATACCGACATCAGTGTCCCACAAATAATTTGACATCTCATGCACAAAACTTTAAGGTTTGTTCCATGATTTACAACTTAAAAATATTTGAATTAAAACAGTTAGAGAAACATTCACTACCAAAAAAATGGTCTTTCGCCACGGCTTGACGGTTCGTTACAATAACATCGTAACAAATAATAGTTTTTGTTACGACAACTTCCGTTACCAAAAAATATTATCTTGGTCAACGTTTCTGGTTCTTTAATTACGCAAAATAATCCGTAACAAAAACGAAGTTGGTAGACTTTGTTCAAAATAACATTAGTTACGATTGTGCTTCGTAACAAATGGTGTGTAAATTTATTTTTGAAATTATTCTTTTTAATTATATTAAAATAAATTTAAAGAAAAGGAAAAAAAATGATTTTTATTAATAAAAAAATTATTTATTTTAATTATATTAAAATAAATTAAAAAAAACAAATAACATATGCTTTTTATATCCTCAGTTATACAATATTCACACTTTCAAAAATTATTCCACTCATCTTCATAGACATTGCGACTTCGAAGCCCTACATCCTTCCGGTGAAATCGAAGGTGTTCGTCAGCCGTCACAGCTCACCACTGTTGAGTTGAGGAGCCACCACCAACTTATTTTGGTACTCGATATGTCCTTCGATTTTGTTGACCATCTGTTATGGTTGATTCGCTTATAGTTTTGAGAATCAAAAAGGTTCCCTATCCTTCGCCCTATGAGTCGAGCGCCGACAATGGTGTCATGACTTTTAATCGCCATCTCCAATGCCTCTTCAGGGACAATTGGTCACCTATCCCCTTGACGGCGAAGGTGTCCTCACCCTCCTAGCCCTATAAGTGTCATTTGTCCTCTCATTTGTTTCCCCATTTTTATGTACATTATTGTTCATTTTCATCGGTGTTGATGGTGTTGACTAGTTAGTTGAGTATGAAGTTCGGGTTGATTTGGTAGGTATTCTCTCCATCCCCAAACTTACCCTTCCGTAACTGCCTCTTCAGCTTGCACTCCACCTGCTCGATCAATTGCTCATTCGGCTAATTTCTTCCCCCTTGATCCAAAACCAACTCTATATATCTTCCGAGTTGATAAGATTGTAGGCTTCTTATTGGATAACAAAATAAATCAGCTCGCTGCGGGCCTTTTTCTTACTTGTGATATGGCATCAAATTAAAGTCTTTTATTGAATTATATTTGTTACTCTCTTTATACATGTATTGTCTTCTAGCATTTTTCCTCTTTTCTTCAGTTCTTACAGGGTAGCTTCCATAGGTTTGAAATATAATATATATATTTATTTTCTTGGATAGGAGTTTGCTAAATTAAAAAGAAGAAGGTTTAGACCAGCAAAGCAAATTTGGAAAAGTTAAGATAAGAGAACAAGCATAAACATTTTTCTCTAAGTATTTTTACATCAGCCTTGTGAGTCAATTTTCAGCTTTAAATTGATTGTGGTTGATGATTCAATTAATCTATGTTCGGGTTTATTTATGTCTCATTCACCTGGCTTGTTTTATTTTGGTGTCTGCATTTTGTTTTGGTTGTTGGCCTTTGTTGCTCTTCTTGTTGTTTGTGTGTGGCAGTTGAGTCACTCTAGATTGTGAGAATTTTGGTGAGATGGTTGTGATTTGTGTTCGATTTGGTTGTGATCATTCTTGGAAAGTGTTGGTTTCATGCATATATCTTGGGTGGTAGTAACCTCAGTTTTGAGTTGCCAATGACTTCTGTTTATTTTATTTTGGTGCTTCTTGAAGTCATGGAGTTGGAGGCTGATATTGGTGTATGGTAGTTTGTCTTTGATCGAATAGGTTGGTGCATGGGCAAGTTATTCAAATCAGATTTTGATTGACAGTCATCCAGGTAACTGAGTAGTGCGAGGGGTGTGCAGAGTTGGTGTTGGCAGCATGGTTTTTCGGGTGTGCAACATTGAAGGAAGAATCTTGGATTCTTATGCATCCATTTGATATTCCACTTCATTATTTTTTTTATCTAGACTGGTATTCTCCTCAACTCTGAGTTGCTGGTGACTTTTGTTTTATTTGATTTTGATGCTTCTTTAAGTCATGGAATTGGAGGCTGGATTGATCCAAGCAGTCCATTATTTGATTTGTTGTTTCCTTTGGCAGGTGCAGTGGAAGTTCATCTCTGGTTTTGATATTGTGAGTTTAGTTCTCATCATGGGATTTCACATATAGTTTTGATTCTTGGAGGTAGATTTTTTTATTGTTGGCTTTGCATTGAGGATTGAACATATCAGGTGTGATCTTTGGTTGATTCTTCCTTTTGGTTGGTGGCTTGTTATATCCTTGCGCTTGAGTTTGCGGTTTGGAGATCATGGATTGGATGATTGGTGCAATATTGGTTATAGGAGATATTTATTCTCAAGGAGTGGGTTTGTTGTTAATCTAGTCTAGTTGTGGGAGGTTGGTATGGCTTGAGTTGCCGAATTGCTTGGGATTTTATGGTTTTTGTAATCATGTTTAGGCTTTGGATGGTTGGATTTGGTAGGTTTCTTTTAGTTTGGGTCTGTGCGTTCCTATGTATATATAAGATATATAGATAATTTTGTGATATATATATTTAGTATATATTAGTTTAATTAAAGAGGTTCTTTAAAAAAAAATTATCTTTTATATTCATTCCATCCAATTTCTTTCATTTTTAAATTTTATTTTCTCCAATTGAATGTTTGATATAGTTGTACGGTAGGGTAATATGTTTAAGTGGGCCGAGGAGTTTTTCTTGTTTTTCTACTTGTCACCTATTGTTGTGTTTTCAATTATATATCTTTTTAATGAAATGTAGTAGCTTGATTGTTTAACCTTCATTCTGTCCTAGTTTTTTTGTTCATATTTTTTATGATTTAGAAGGTAGGAATCTTTCGGATGTATGTTTAGTGTTGGATGAGCTACCATCATGCTTGAATTTATGTTGATTAATATCAGAATATGACAAACGTGTTTTGATTTTCTCCTAATATACGTTTTCATACTGCCAACTAACACTGGTGTCTTGCAGGTTATGGGCAAATCTCAACGTGGTGCCGTTGGAGGGTCACAGGATCCGGCAGTCTCTCCCGCAAGACGTTTTACCCGGGCATCCGCACGTAACAGCCCCCTAGAGGCAACTCATCCCGCAAGCAGGAATCCATCGCCCATCCGCAATCCCACAAAGAAAGTGACAAAACGGAAGGGATCTCGGGTCTCGCCACTGCTCCAGCGACTCCGGTCCATCACATTAGAGTGGGAGAAAGAGCGCGATGCTCGTGGTCAAAGCATGAAGCCAACATCTTCCACTCGAAGGGCAGTGCTTCAGGATTCAGAGGGCCCTTTGGAGGTAATGTGGTTCCTTTGCCGAAAGCATGTCCTTATTTGAACTCTCAGTATAACACTACAATAGGCTGACACTGTTAACCCCAACAGGAACATGATGATAGGGATGTTCCATCACTTTTTGATCCGACGGCACTGACACAGGATGACGATGATACAATCCCCCCCACACAAGCAGATGACGAGACACTTCCGCCGACGCAGGACATGGAGACTGCAGAGAGTGATATGCCACTCTTGGATGAAGGGCCAGGCTCCGACCCCACTCTGATGACAGGAACAGAGGCGGGCAATATGGCACCATTGGACGAGATGACATCGCACGACGGTTTGGAAATTAGCCTTCAAAGATTACCGATTACATTTAGTGACTTCATATTTTGCATGTAATATCCTTATTAGAACATGTAATCTCCTGTTTGTGTCAGCTGGTTCGTCAAAGAAAAAGCAGGGGAGAGGGGCGGCACGAATGCCGCGTGGATGGGGAAAAGATCACAGGATGCTTGTATTCACATCGCCGGATGATAAAAGCATCGTCGGACCCGACGTAAACGAGTACAAGACAGCCATTGGGGTCATTGCACGCAACGGAGCTCGACTTCCTCTACATTACCCCACGTTCGCTGAGATACCGGAGACGAAGAGACAGGGTGCATGGATGGAGGTTCAGGTGATGCAAACTTCATTAAATTGAAAGTTCTTTTATTTCATATAGATTCTTATATATGGCCCTACCATCTTCTCCGGACCTGGTGGAAACCGTGTGAAACAGCATTCCAGAGTAACAGCGGATTACCAGACTCAGCGGAGAAAGTGGTCTTGGCTGACCTAAGGGAAGTTTGGAGGCACTGGAAATACAGCATCAAATCAACTTACTTCAATCCGATCGAGGACGATGAAGAAGCACTGAAGAAGGTTCCCTCAAGCAGGATTGTGCCCGATCAGTGGCCGAAGTTGGTTGAGTATTGGCGCGACGAGAAGGTGAAGGTACGCATAGGGACATGCCAAATTAATATACGTTAAATCTGCACGGGCATGGACTGAGAACTAAATAACTTTGATTGACATAGCTTCAATCCAAGAAAAATGCGTCGAACGTAGCGAAAAGAAGCTTTCCACATCGTACTGGGCGGAAGTCATTCACGACTCTGGCAGAGGAGGTACCTTTTATTACAATTAAGTAATTAGTCATGTCATGCTCCATCCCCATATTTTCCTCTCCTGTATTTCATTATGTTTTCGATGACAGAAGGCCTTGTATTGCTGCAGATCAAGGCAAAGGGGAAGGACCCCGACAATCTGGAGATTTGGATTTCCAGTCGCACACAAGGCAAGGGAAAGGATGACCAAGAAACCGAGGAGATATTGGTAGAATAAATTCGTTCCCAACTTAGTTACAATTCAGTCAGTATTTACATCTCTAACAACAAGAGCAAGTTCGGCCTCACTTAAATCTTTCCTGCAGACTTATTTACAGAATGAGCTAAACAAGGTTCCCCCTGAAGGGCGGACTCCCTCTGTTCGGGAGACTCTGTACCGACGGGCCCTTGGGGGAAAGATTAAGAAGCGGTCAAAGGTCGACAGTGCGGCAAGTTCAGCTCATCCCCGCAGCGAGTCAACTGGTTTAACAGACAGTGTAGCATTCCAGCATGGGTGGGAACAACTACATAATGGAATGGAGGAGCTGAAGGCAATGATGGATGAGTTCAAAACCATCAAGGCTGATGTGTATGCATTCATGCACAGAAACTCCGGAGCGGTTACTGGCCAGGCAGTAAGTATTCATAATCCCTGACCTGTTTGGTATGAGTATCCCATGAGATTTGGATGGCGAAGGAATTTACCATGATCGGCATGTTATATGATAGGGCACATCTCGTATTGATTCAGTCCCTGAGATTCCCAGGCCTGTGTCCGAGCCAAGCATGACGGTATGATTCCGTGACGCCCTGGAGTTTCTTAGAAATCAGTGCAGTGTCTAATTTAGGCTACTCTTGACTGCGTACTACCTTATCCAACTCATATGCCCTATCTGTTGTAGGTCGGCACACATGTGCTTCTATTTTCCCGCACCGGTGAGAAAAAAGTTGTTGCAGAGGGACTTCTGCTCTGCCCCCCTGGGCCAGGTTGGTCCGGTATCTTTGAGGATGTTTAATTAAACTTTTAATATGCCTCAGCGAGATATCGTAGGTTTTCGTGACTGTTCAGGCCTCATATTGCGTATTAGCATGGATTCACTAAGTGTAGAAGTATACAATGATACGATCCGTGGATTTCCAAAGCGATGTAGACTGTTAATGTAGGGGTGGTAAAATAACTGCTATTATGACGACCCATGTTTATTGAAGGATGTTTGGTTTAAAGATCAAGCTGCAATTACATAGGAAATTAGGGTATAATGTGCTTCGCTACCTAACTCGTGAATGTAATACCATGTACTGTACGACATGTCTGAATGTACGTACTCCTCTTGTTCTAGTTCCAAAGTATTACACTTATAATGTCTGTGTTATGACATGTTATATATACAGTTCGAACGTCTGTTGATATATATGCTTGAATGTAATCAAAAATTGCTCTTGTGAATGCTGTAGGTGACACACTTTCCTTGGTCAAGGTCTTCGTGACATCCGCGTCAGTCCCGGACACACCCCTTATTTTGCCGACCATTTCTGGGGCGACTACCCTTCGCGATGTCGTCGGCGAAGATCCTATTGAGTGGAGCTACAAGGACGTAAGGATCTACTTTAATACCTTTCTTGTATTGCCTTCCGAAATTTATAAGTATGACTTAAAGTAATCTCTGTGTTGGCAATTGCAGCTCATGCGCCGGGCTTGAAATGTTGGTACCGATACACCCATGTTAATTGCCCCGTTTGTCATATGGATTGAATGTCGAACCTGTCTTTGGATGGATTGTGTTGAGTTTTTGTTGAACTATGTCTGGAATTGATGCGTAGACCTTTGTGGTTTGAATTCGTATGGTGAAAAATGTGCCTAATGGGATTGATGGATAACCGTATTTGCTTATTGCGTTGTTTACTTGTGTTTGAACTGTTAAGCACGTTTTGCGGAACAGGTTGTTGATGTGTAGATACTAGTAGGCTTGTTCTATGGGTTGCTTTACTTTGTTGGTAGATATGGAATTCAGATTTTAATATGAATTAATGTTTGCGCGGGGCGTAATGATGATGATGTTTATAGCAATCTTTGTATTCGTAATTTATTTTCGTATCATACGCATCACAGCAGGTCCATTTGTTACGAACAATTTCAATTGCAGCGTACCCCCTGTTTTTCACAATACGCTATTTTTCCGTAACAAAAGGCCAGAAAATCGTAACAAAAAGTGGTCTTTGGATATTTGTTGTTACAGACGGTTTCGTGACTATAAGTAGGTAATATTTTTTTTACGGGGTTCAATGCCGTTACAAATAGTCGTAACAAAAACCAAGTTCTGACAACCGGTCAATGGAAAACACTTGTAACGCGAGGAACTTCCGTAACAAATACCGTAACTAAAAGTCCTGCCACACGCGCGGAAGGATCTACCTTTCGTTACGAGAGAAAATTCGTAACAAACATCGTAACAAATACCATACTTCAGGGAGCGTTGACCGATCGTAATAGTTACGAAAAGTGGCGTGGCAAAAAACATTCGTTACGCGAGTACACATTACGGAAAAAAGTCGTAACAAAGGCGTAGCAAATACGCAAATTGCACGAAATATGGCTTTTTGTTACGATTTTCCGACCGTAATAGAAAACAGTTTTTTTGGTAGTGATTTTAAATCAAAAATTGTCGTCGTTGGTTGAAAATTTTCTAATAACCCATGATTTTTGGGTTTTACCATGATTACAATTAATCATGTCTATTTATAATCTAAAAGATGTTGCAAAGAGATGTATCTCTTCGATACATAAATAAATACAATTAAATTATTTTATAATATTCTAAATTAAAAAATCACTTTAAAAAATATATCCGATAAAATAAAATAAATATAATATTGCGGCGCCCCTCTTCTGTAAAGTACCCATGACGTTTGTAAATATATAGTCTTATGTAAAACACACCCAAATATTGTAAATATATTTGAAAATATATCCAACTTTCTAATAAAATAAAATAAAATAAATATAATATTTGTCGGTTGGAGCGTCTCTCCTTTTGCAAAACACGTCCAAACATTTGTAAATATATTTGCCATTTTGTAAAACACGACTAAGCCTTTGTAAATTATATTTGAAGATATGCCCGGACATCGTTAAAATAAATCTGCACCCTGTCTTCTGAAAAATAAATCTAAGAGCGCTCGGACTATCTAACATGGATTTGGGAGCGCCCTACCTCTGAAAAATAAATTTGACGGCACCCAAATTATTCTAAAATATATCAATCAGCACCCCACTTTCTTAAAACACGCCGGGGCCTTCGAATTACTCCCAGACCTCCTGAAATACATGTCCAACCTTCTGCAAAACAAGTCCATCCTTCTGCAATCATATGACACCGCTTGCACACCTATTCCAGCGTTGTGCCTTCTATCCTGGTAGCTTCTACATAAGCTCGGGTACGTTTCACATCGATGGAGACGACTTTCGCATCAATCTGGGCAACTCCTGCAATACTCCATGCAACTTTTGCAGTAACCCGAGTGATTTCTGTATCAGTTCAGAGATTTCTGCATTAGCCCGGACGACTTCTGCATGAACCCGGGTGATTTCTGCATCAACCGAGACGGCTTCTGCATTAGTGTGGGCATCATATGCATCTGTTCAAACATCATCTGCATCTGTCTAGGCATCATTTGCATCTATTTGGGCACCCCATCTAGCATCTAGGCGTATTGCGCTCAAGTGGTTCTAGCTGCTCATCACTCCTGTTAATCTTGCACAGGTCATAACTTTATGTTGAGTTCTGCTAATTAATTTCATGTGATAACATAGGCCTCTTCTGGGCATTTACCGTGGGTTGAAAATTTTCAATCTGATAATAACCAAGGACTTTTTTTTGAAGGAATTAAAATGATTTAATCCTTAATTCGTACCAAGACGTCAGTACCCAATCAAATAAAGCGCAGTACCCAAACATTTGATGGGAAAGAAATTGAGGAAAAAGAAGAGAGTCTGAGAAAATAAATAAATTGCGAGATGTTGAATCTGAGTTTTGACCATGATTACAATGTCTATTTATAAAATTTAAACGATATCCAACCCTTCACTCTATTAACCATGCGAAGAGATGTAAATAAATACAATTAAATTATTTTCTAACTTTTTAAATTTAGAAACCACTTCCTAAAATATATTTGATAAAATAAAATAAATATATTATTTTAATATTATAGGTGCCCCTTTTATGTAAAGTACCTCTAACGTTTGTAAATATATATGGTCTTTCTGTAAAACACGCCAACATATTTGTAAATATATTCAACCCTCTAATAAAATAAAATATTATAAATATAATATTTTAGTCGGTTTGGGTGTTTTTTCTTTTGTAAAACACGCCCAGACTTTTGTAAATATATCTGCCCTTTTGTAAAACGTTATGAAAAAAAATCTGACAGCGCTCGGACTATCTAAAATACATCTAGCAGTGTCTTGCCTCTAGAAAATAAATTTGACATCGCCCAAATTATTTAAAATGTATTTTTCAGCACCCTACTTTCTTAAAACAGGCCTGGCCTTCGTAAAAATTTCTTATTACGGACCTCTTGACATACATGCCCAACCTTATGCAATACAGGCTCATCCTTCTACAATCATCTGACATCGCCAACACACCTATTCCGACACCGTGCCTTCTATCCTAGTAGCTTCTACATCAGCTCGGGTAACTTTCACATCGATAGAGACGACTTTCGCATCAATCCGGGCAACTCATGCAATACTCCAGGCAACTTCTGTAGTAATCCGAGTGATTTTTGTATCAGTTCAGACAATTTCTGCATTAGCCTATGTGATTTCTGCATGAACCCGGGTGATTTATGCATTAACCCAGACGGCTTCTACATTAGTCTGGACGCCATATGGCATATGTTCAGACACCATATGTTTGGTTCGAAGAGTTTTGATATATATTGATTTGATGAGTATTAAATATATAAATGCGTATTAATTTTAAATTTAGTAATGATATTATTTATGTATGAATTTATATTATATCTAAACCTGTTAAAACGGGTTAACAGGTGGATTGACCCACAGTCCACCATAGCCCGCAAATAAATGGATTATTTGCGAGCCAACCTGCGGTGAGGCAGACTAAACTTTCATCGGCCTAACCCAACCCACCGGCGGATGGCGAGTTAAGCGAGCTAGCCCACGGGCTTTTTAAAAATATTAACATTATATATATTTTCGTAATTAATATTTAAAAATAATTTTATAGTAGTGTTTAAATAATAAATATTTTAAAATAAATAAAAAAATATAAAAATTCTCAATTCTAAATATCATTTGTTGGTTTATTTTAAAAAACTAATAATAAGAAATATTTTAAAAATAAATCATATAATTAATTTATTGAATATATTAATAGATTCTAAAATAAATGAAATTATAAATAATAAAATGAAAAACGAACAAAAATAAATGATGAAAAATTGAATCAAACAAGAGTGACATTGACCAGAGCATTAAAGAAGAAAAACGTGTAGACAATATTGATTAATTTATTTAAACTAATGATAATATAAATTATATTTTATTCGTCTTAACTAAAAATATCTCATTTTTAGTAGATTGAAAATAATAATATATTATTTATTAAATAAAATGTACAAGATAATTTTGATATTTTTTACTCTTTGTATTCTATTTATAAATTAATTGTATTTATAATAGTATATTTATAATTTACATAAAATTAAATTATATTATGATATTAATATTTAATTATTTTTATTATAATTTTTTAATGTGAAAACAAAAATTGGTAAAAGAAAATACATGTTTGTTTGAGGGATTGGATTTAATATACACTATTCATTCCTTTTTTCCCCTCAAAAACATCAAATCAAACACCTATTTTTTATTTTTTATATTATACTAAAACTCAATTTTATATTCAAAACATCACATCAACAACCATTTATATCACATCATACAACTATTCAAATTCAAAATTTTTACTATTCAAATCCCAACTCAAAATCCAAACCCCCAAACAAACACACCATCAAACGATTGAGTACTAATTATTATATTTATTTGGCCCTTGGGCTAACATGCCTCACTGCGAGTTAACCCACTCCCAATCCACAATCCGCGTGGATTGGCCCTATGAAGCCCATATTTTAACGAACTTAAAAAATTACAACCCAACATTCCTTAAGGTGAGACAGGGCGGACCAATCCAACAAACTCAACTCATTTTGACGACTCTAATTATATATATAAAAACTTTACTAACACAAAATAATATATATTATATATTTTTTATTAAAATATAATCATTGTAACTATCAAATAATTATTTATATCAAAATCAAATTTCATTAACTTGTTAATGTCATTTTAATTTTTTTAATTATAATTTAATTACATATTTTTTGGATCTTTATTAAAAAAAATATATATTTAATAATAACAATTACATACATAAGTACCAACATATTCTGTGGAGTATTATTGATGTTTACTAAAATTTTTATAAATAATTGTTTATACTTATTTATATTTGAATTAGGGTTTTAATTTAATGTTTATTTTAATTAATTAATATTTTTATATAATATCTTATAATAAACAGGGTGAACTTTGTTAATTTCATTTTAAAACTCAAACAAATAATTTCTTAAAATAATTTGAAGAGATTGAAGAATTCCACTTTAAGTTTTATTCTATATATCCAACAAATACATACATATATTGCTATTAGAGTTATTCATATTGCAGTTATAATGAAATACAGACAAATCGTTAAAAGTGTACGCAATAGTATAGATCTATCAGAGTTTAAAAATCTAAAACTTCTTATCAGTGAAGAAGTCAGTCCATTTTTAATATCTTGGAATCCTAATGGAAAATTTATTTCT